ATGAGACGATATACGATAGAATGAATGTAAAACTAATGTTCTCCCATGTAAACTATCACATAATTCACACTAAAACATTAAAAAAAAAAAAAAAGTAGGCATTATATGGAACAACAGCAGGGAGAACTCATGAGATACCTGTGCCTGCTTGAAAGTGGAAACAAGCTTGTGAAATGACATAAACAGAAACTCTTAGATGCAAGTAACCTTTATGGGTAAGTTGTGCTCTCCCTTTGCAGTCTACAAATCAACTGCCCTTCTTAGTTTGGTGATAAGTAACCAAAGTACCTACGATTCATCTCAGGGCCGTCATCCTTTCAAGAAAGAACATTCTTCATTAGTCACATAAATTAGTCAAAGGTGCATCTTTAAAAAAGAATTTCTCTATGAATTACCTTACAATCAAATACAAAGTAGGATTCAAACAGTTCGTGGAAAAATAGAATTAAAAGATAACAGAATTTTTCCATAAACTTTTGAAGCCCTCTCATACAAGTATGTTGACAGTTTTGGCGAGCTGGGCTCAAAAGGACAAATGGTCTACTGAAATCTAACAAGTATATTCGGTTTAAAATGTGTAATACTGTAATTAAATTTAGATAGTCTCTTTTAAAGAGAGTTTCCCCATGTAAATTTTTGTTTTCACTTCATGTTTTCAGATCTGCTAAACCCACCTTTTCATCAAGCATATCTGGGTGCTCTGTCAGCCAGACGCAGAGACACTGAAACGCTGCCACTATCATGGAGTGCAGATCCCGAGAATGAAGAGGAGCCGGCCGACTACACTGGTATACGATGTAGCTGCACACGGAACTGATGGCTCGCTTCCGGTCTCCTGAGTCAACCAGCACCTTAACCTGAACAGATTCATTTAGGGACCAAAAGTTAGCCAGCAACCACTGTGAATCTAGAGACCTGATCCATTTTGAGAGTGTGATACACCACAGGAAGCCTTTTGTACAGTTTTTATTATCAGGTACAGAATATTTCAAATGTACTACTGTGTAATAGTCTACAAAAAGAGTGGCACTTCCCATGTGCACATTTTTATGCCCCCTTGTCAAACTCTACTTAGGTGCTGGGCTGCTAGCTAGCTGTAAGGTGGAAGGTTCAAACCTACCAGTCACACCACAAAAGAAAGATGAAATTAATTGTTTGCTCCCATAAAGATTTGTAGACTCCAAAACCATGTTCAGGGTTGCTCTGAATCAGAATTTACTCGATGACAGGGGGTTTGGGTTTTGGTTTTAAACCTAACCCTACAGTGATGTCCTATGGCTACCAAGTTCTATGCAGCTGCTCAGATATACACTAAACTGCACATACTCCAAGTGCACAATCTGAGAAGTTTTTGAATTCTCATATATCCATCTGTGAAGCCATTACCACATTCAAGATGGTGAACATATCCATCATTCCTAAAAATGTCTGGGTGTGTTTTTATCATCTCTCCTTCCTACTTTTCCCCAACCCCTCCCTACCACAGATCTACTTCCTGTCACTAGATTAGCTCGCTTTTACTAGTTTTATATAAATGAAATCATATAGTATGTATTCTTTTCTGGTCTGGCTTCTTTCAGCATAATTATTCTGAGATTCATTCCACATTTTTATGTATCAATGATTCGTTCCTTTTTCATTATTGAGTAATATTCCATTGAATGTACATACCACAATTCATTTATCCATTCATCTGCTGATGGACATTGCTTCTAGCTTCTAGAGATTACAAATAAAGCAGCTATGAACATTCATTCATTTACAAGTTTTTGGATAGACATGTGCTCTCTTCCCTTCTAGGAGTGGAAGAACTGGGTGACGTGGTAGGTTTTTGCTTAAATTTTTTAGGATTTACAGCCTCGGACACCCTAATGGCGCAGTTGTCCTCTGTCCTATGGGGTATCTGTGAATTGGAATTGACTTGATGGAGGGTTGGGGGTTTTTGGAATAGGGATGTAGTATCAAATTTTAATTTTAATTTTAAGAGTCTTGGTGTGGTGCTGTAGGATAAACATTAGACTGCTAACTTGCTAACTGCAAGGTTGGTAGTTCAAACCCACAAGCCATTCCTTAGAAACCCTATATAGGGTCACTATGAGTCAGAACCAACTCCATGGCACTTCACAACAATAACAACAGTGATGAATATGGAACTCTGGCAGTGCAATGGTTAAAAGTCTGGCTATTAGCTGAAAGCTTGGTTGTTTAAATTCATCCAGTAGCTCCACCGGAGAAAAACCTGAATCTGCTCCTCTAAGACTACAGCCTAGAAAACACTATGGGAACTTCTACTGTTACATTGTTGTTGTTAGATGCCATCAAAGTCCCCTCGGACTCACAGTAACCTATGCACAACAGAACAAAACACTGGCCGATCCTGTACAGTCCTCACAATCATTGTTAAGCTCATTGAGCCCATTGTTGCTGTCACTGTGTCAAGCCATCTCATTTGGGGGAAGAGGGGCCTTCCTCTTTTTCACTTCCTCTTTACTAAGCATGTTCTTTTCCAGGGACTGGTCCCTCCTGATTAACATATCTGAAGTATGAGAGACAAAGTCTGGCCATCCAGGAGGCCCCTAAGGAGCATTCTGGCTGTGCTTCTTTCAACACTTATTTGTTTGCTCTTCTGGTAGTCCATAGTACTTTTAATATTCTCTTCCAACACAATAATTTAAATGCACCAAATTATTCTATAGTCTTTCTTATTCATTGTCCAACTTTCACATGCATGTGTTGTTGTTGTTGTTAGGTATCATCGAGTTGGTACCAACTCATAGCCATCCTATGAACAACATAACGAAACACTGCCCGATCCTGGGCCAACCTCACAATCACTGCTATGTTTGAGCCCACTGTTGCTGCCACCACTGAACATACATATGAGGCTAGTGAAAATACCATGGCTTGGATAAGGCACTCCTTAATCCTTAACTGCTCTTAAAAACTTTAAAGAGGTCTTGTATAGCATATTTGTCTAATGCAGTGCATCATTTGATTTCTTGACTGCTGCATCCATTAAGTGTTGATCGTGAATCCAAGCAAAATGAAGTCCTGACAACTTCAATCTTTTCTCCATGTATCATAATATTATTTATTGGACCAGTGTGAGATATTTTTTCTTTACATTGAGGTGCAACCCATACTGAAGGCTGTGGTCTTTGATCGTCATCAATCAGTATTTTAAGTCCTCTTCCCTTTCAGCAAGCAGAGTAGTATCATCTACAAATCACAGGTTATTAATGAGTCTTCCTCCAATCCTGATGCCATGTTCTTCTTCATATAATTCAGCTTTTCAGACTATTTGCTCAGCATACAGAAAGAATAAATATAATGAAAGAATACAGCCTTTCCTAATTTTAAAACATTCAGTATCCCCTTAATCTGTTCAAACAACTGCTCCTCTTGGTCTATGTACAGGTTCCTCATGAGCACAATTAAGTTTTCTGGAATACTCATTCTCTGCAACATTATTCATAGCTTGTCATGATCCACATAGCCAAAAACCTCTGCATAGTCAATGAAGCACAAGGAAACATCTTTCTGGCATTCTCTGCTTTCAGCCAAGATCCATCTTATGTCAGCAATGATACCCCTAGTTCTATGTCCTCTTCTGAATCTGACTTGAATTTCTGGCAGTTTCCTGTTGCAGCTGTCCATGGGATCACTATAAATCAAGCAACTCACCTAACAATAACTAATGATGTTGTACGTATCCTTTCACATGCCAACTTGTCATCTACAAATCGTCTTGTTATGCCATTTTTATTTGGGTTGCTTATTTTCTTATTGAGCTTAGAGAGTTCTTTATACAATCTACATACAAATTTTATCAGATATCTGCTTAGTAAAGTTTTTTCCTAGTCTGTGACTTGTCACATAATTTTCTTAAGTGATTACTGAACAAAAGGTTTGAAACTTGGTGAAGTCTAACTTACCAGTCTTAGGTTTTATGTTTAGGTCTATAATCTATTTTAACTTTGCATATAGTTCAAGATTTTTTTTTCTCATGATATCCCATTGTCCCAGCACTATCTGTTGAAAAGAATTCCCTTTCTCCTCTGAACTGCTTTTGTACCTTTGTCATTAATCAGATACCTATATATGCGATTAGATTTCTGGACTCTAGTCCACTGAACTAGGTCAATCCTTTTGCCAGTACCATACCGTCTTGATTACTATAGTTTTATAGTAAGTCTTGAAATCAGGTAGTATTAGCACTTGACAATTTGTTAGGGGCGTCCAGAACACTCCACATCTAAGGTAATTATTCCCTACTACTGAAGTCAGAGCTTCTTTCTGGAGTACTCTCTCCACTCCGTGAATTCTGTGTCTTTCTAGGCCTGATGCTGGGGACACTTTCCCCAGGCCTCTGTGAGTGCAGGCTGCTGTTCTCTCTCTTTCAAAATGTTTTTATCCCCTGCCCTCATGTACTTCCTTTTACACAAGGACTCTGCAGACCTCCAGGGTTCTACCTCTGTATAGTGCTCCCCTCTTGGTACTCTGTTCTGCAAATTCTAGCAACCTTGGTCTCACCAGAAACTCACCTCTCCTCCTTGGTTGGAGGAGTCCACTGAGTTCGGCTTAGGTTTCTACTCTTTGCACTATAGCCTAGAAGCTCCCTCAGGGCAGAAAGCAGGGGCAGTCAGAGTTCTTTCAGGGAACACTATTCATTGTCTGATGTAGTGTCTTGAAAAGCACATTTTCTCTGGTTTTGGTTATCGTTGTTTTGGACAGAAAGGTAGATCTATAATTCCATCTTAGGCAGAAGTCTTCCCTTACGCGAGATACTTTTTCACATGTTGTTGTTGTTGTTGTTGTTAGGTGCCATCGAGTTGGCAGTTTGGGGCAGAAAGGTAGATCTATAATTCCATCTTCTGCAGAAGCAGAAGTCTTCCCTTACGCAAGATACTTTTTCACTTACTGTACCATTTTAGGCAAGCTACTCAACCTCTACTCCTCTGTTTTGGCAAATGAGGACAACGGTTATATATATCTCATGATGTTATGATGATTAAATGATTTAATCTATGTAAAGTGCTTAGAACAATGCCTGGCAAATGGTACGCATTATAAATATAAGTATTACTCTAAACCTAAAATATATACCACTTACTTGAAAAGGAGATTAAACAAATGTGAAGGTAAGAATAATGGTGGACTAACTTTTGCCCGTAAGTTCAGGCAAAATCCTTAGATGGGCTATCATTAAGGTTTAAAATGCAGGGATAGAAATATTCTAAGCAGCAATTTTTTCTATTTTTGAGGGGGGTGAAAGGAGGAATGTAGAAAAGGCAAAGCCTGCTTTTCCCTAGCTGATTCCTAACCATATCCCTGAAAAAAGAATGGTACACCAAAGGTCAAAGGAAACTACATTTTACTTTCAAAGGCAGTAGGGCCCTGCATGCCTCACAAATGTCCGCTCTCATGTTCTGTGGAGCAGTTACTGCACTTCCTAAAACTGTGGCCACCATACCCACCCGTGGAGTTTCTGAGGCAAGCTCTCAGTGGTGAGAGCACCTTAGATCTTCTATCCAATTTTGACTCCCAGTTTAGGTAAAGCACAGCCTCTAAACAGCTGCTTCCACATTTGTAATATAAGGGATCGAGCTACATATATATTACCTTAAACAATAGCTTCCGGCTCACAAAGCATTTTACATATTTATCTCTTTCAGTCCTCACGAAACCCAGGTGTTAGAAGCAAGATAATCCTACATATATTACACATAAACAGAAAAGAGGCAAAAATGACCAACTAGCTCTTAAGCATACACAGAGTTGAAATAATAGATGTGGAAGAAATTAGAAATTATAACCCATTTTTACTTATCTCTGATAATGGGAGGGGCACAGATATCCCAAATCGCACATTTTAGGAATCAGTTTAAAAAAAAAAAAAATTCCCTTACTAAATCTGTATTTATATTTTTGATATTTTTAAATATCATACATTAAAATTGGATGACTGCAATTTCAATGGAATATAATGGATATTCCAATAGTTAATGGCAGTACAAAACATGCTGAAAATGTAAGGGTATTATAAGCACATACAAAATCAATACATATTCTGTTTTGTGTGTAAATACATAAATAGCAGGTATTCAAATGTTTCCTATTATTTAACAGCAAAAATACTATACATACTCTTTGAGATTTCAAAAAATAAAGTTAATTTAATAAATTTTCATTTGAATGCTAACTTTTGCATACTTGTATTATAAACTGTGTTTGAGTATGACCCACACTGAGAGGCTGGGAAGTACAGAAAGTAAGGGCCAAGGCCCAAAGCTAGTGGATTGAACTGCCAGGACTGCCTCCTCACCTTTGCCAGACCAGAGAGGAGCTCGAGAGCTGCCAGCGAGATGCTCATGTCCTGCCGCCACTGGGAGTTGAGCCTTTGCGTGACGAGGTGAATGCTGCGAATCAGGAGTCCAGCAGCCGAATCTGTGTTAAGAGCTAGGATATAACCCCAATGCCACATCCCACAGGGAGGGAAAACAACTAAGCATTAGTAACAAGAAGCACAGCATTCCACCAGGCACAGACCACAGCAGCCACAGGGAGCATGACAGGCACCCACACTGTGCTAGGCTCCCCGCCCCACTGGCCTGAGCGCCACACCTGACTACACAGGGCACATAGACTAGACCAGAGAAGTTTCTATCTCCCAGGTCAGACACTTTCAGACAGATATCCGCTGGGATTTGACAATTTCAGCATCATTTTTTAAATCATGTAAATCTTAAATTTCTAAATTAACAACTCAGTTTCGAAAAAAATAATGAAAAGGCTGTTAACTCCTTTCTTGGAATTTTACAGAGGAGAAAATTCAAATTTTAGAGCCTCCTCAGATGCTAGAAAGTATCCTAGAGCATCTGTTGGAGTTATTTTCAGGGTTTGAACCTTTAAAAATCACATGCAAGGCCTTTTAAAATGTATTTTAATACTTAACTTTCCAAAGCTACATTAATACTTCTAAAAAAATTTAAATCAAACCACTGTGTTTTTAGTTGGTCTCTAATTCTAGATTTTAAAGTAATTTCTACTTAGCAAATAAAAAATTAGGACAAATTAAATTGAGTTTATAAAGGAAGCTTTAGGGACATTATACCTGTCGATCCTATCAGAAAGAGGGCAGTGACAACAGAAAAAGGAATGATCATTAAAGAGAGACATTCATGCGACACTAACACAAATCTGGATTTCTCAGTTTAAAATATTTTATGACACTAACACAAGTCTGTACTTCTTAAGTTAAAAAATATTTTACAACATTACAAGCAGAATTCACTAACACCAGTTCAAAATGCTGGAACAAACAGTAATCACTTCAAACAATTATATTAGAACACATGCAGTGAAGCAAAATATATTGAAACATGCTTTAGAAAGCACAAAAACTAATTTTTCAAACTACAAGGTATTTAAATCCACATACATAATGAATACGGTAACAACTTCTTTATAAAGGTCATACTTATATGCACTGAGTAGTTACATAATGGCTTTATGTATCTGACGTGCTCAAGGATACTTATTGCAAATGAAGCCGAAGAAACATGCTAGACTCATGATTTAAAAATTAAATTGACATTTAAGGATCTGTATTTCATTCCAATTTAGCTGGACTACCACTCATAGATTTATGCATTATTAGTAATAGTACATGAAAACTAAAGGGCATATATAAACTCACAGAACCCTTAAAGTAATTGCTCAGGGTAAAGAACATCATTGAATAAAATGATTTGCTAGCAAATTAATTTGACAGAGTGGAAAATAAAAATATTTCCTTACTCTTGCTGAAAACTTGCAACTAAGAACCTAATCTATATGGTAGAATACATAGATTTAAAACATAAAGACAGACTCTCCTCTGGGTTCTGATCTATCACATATCCCATCTCCCCCTTGCCACACTGCAGTAACTGATTACTAGCTACCTCTGCCCTTTGACTGGGAGCTCTCAGGCAGAAACCACATCTTCTCCGACCCTCTATTACTAGTGTCTGGTACAGAATCCAAAAATGCTTCCTGACTACCTCCTACAATCATTTATAAAGTCTAACATAACAAGGTACCCAAAAATCTAACCTTTTCAGCCCTTTAGATATACATAAATACACAAAAAAAATCATAAACATTACAAGTATGTTTTCTGCTTTTTTTTTTTTTTCTTGTATGCTTGTTTTGTAAATTTGGGCATTAAAGCTATTCTGGAAAATGTTGGATTTCAAAAAGATCAACATGGCTTACCATAATCCCTTAGGAGTGCTTGAGCAGGTCTTTCACTATCAGGAGTTGTGGGCTCTGTGCTTCCACCACTTGCTGAACTAATACCACTATTAGTGCGACTATGACTCTTCAGATTATTTTCTCCACCACCCTAGTCCAAAGAAAACGAATCAAATTTCTGAGGGCTGCATGCACAGTTTACAAGTACAGACAGAGATCATTAAAAGCTATGTGTGGCAAAATGGAACAGAGCAACTCAACAGCCTAAACTGGCACAGAGAGAACTGCTGCAGCATTTGAGCAGAGACACCATCTAGCAGGAGGACGTGGAGGATCTTCCCGTTTCACTAGACTTGACTAGGTAATGAATCTGTATCTGTAAAGTAAATACTCTAGCGCCTTGCAAACAAAACTTGTTGTTTTTGTTATATGCCGTTGAATTGATCCCGACTCATAGCGACCCTGTGTAGGGTTTCCAAGGAGCCAGCTGGTGAGCTTGAACTGCCAACCCTACAGTTTGCAGTTTGCAAACCACACGAGTACAATCTTTTAAAACCATACACAAGTAAGCAAACAACTTTCCCCAAATGTAGTTAAATCACAAAGAACAAGGTAATTTTAAGAAGCTGTAGTGGCACAAAAGTTAAGTGCTCTGCTGCTAATCAGAAGGTTGGCAATTTGAACCCATCCAGAATCTCTGTGGGAGAAAAAGCTGGAAATCTGTTCCTATAAAGATTAGTCTAGAAACCCCATAGGGTACTTCTACTCTCTTATATGGGATCACTATGACATGAAATCTACTTGATGCCACCCAACAACAACAAGGTCATTACAAAGATTAACTACCAATGTATAGAGACTGGCAACGGTTTTCTTTTTCCTCATTTCTTTCCCCTATAACTAATTCATTACATTCAGATCAGTTAATTATTATTAGCATCTAATTTGATCACCCATCCTATATTCAGCCAACTTAACCATCGGTGCTGGTTGTGTGCCATCAAGTCAGTTCCAACTCACTCAAAGAGATCCCGTGTAGGGTTTCCAAAGCTGTAAATCTTTACTGCAGCCGAAAGCCTTATCTTTCTCTCATGGACTGGCTGATGGATTCAAACTCCTAACCTTGCAGTTTGCAGCCCAACACACAACCCACTACATGCCACCGGAGCATAACCAGTACACTCTATTAATTATTCTCTTGCTCCCCAACCAGTTGTAGGGGTCACATATCTTCAAGAGTAAAACAAGGGACATTGACAGTTTCTGGGAAGCTTTTTTGCTTCAGAAGCAATGGTGCTTTGGGGGATCCTTCAAATTTTGACCGAGAGGAGCTATAAAAAAATCATCAATGAAATGGGAAAGACTATACTAGATGCTTACTTACAGCCAGCACTAGATCTATCTGGGGTGGGAGGAATTATGAAGTTAGGTCTTTTTCTAAGACTATATAGGCCAGGTCATCAGCATAGCAAAATAAGAAAAGACTTTTGAATAGATACTGTCCAGGAATAAAGATTGCATTTAGATAGAGAATTGCTCAGAGACCTGATGCATAGTTGATGAGTAAACAAATCAACATATATTTTTTAATTGGATATTTCTGAGTCAATGAGTTGAATTTACAAATAAAATGTCTTTTAGAAATCACAAGAACAGAAATTTTGGAATCTAATTTACATGAAATCAGTAGCTGATGTTCTCTGACAGATTAAATCTGGAACTGAGGTATTAATAACATGCTTCTTACCATTTCCATTTGGCAACCAATGGCTTCTAAAAGTGCTGAATCTTGAACAATATTTAACATTGCTCCTATAACAGCAAAAGAAATATATATATGTATATTAGTGGTTAATAGGGATGGGGAAAAGGGGGAAAGGGAGAATCTTAGTTCTGTTAATGGTGGTAGAAATCATTAGGAACAGGTTAAGAGGTAATGGGTGCACAACATGCTGAATGTAACCAATGGCACTGAATTGCACATGTCAAAAATGTCGAATTGGCAAATGTATTTTTACAACAAAAGATCTGGGGAAAGAAAAACAAAACAACTATAATGTCATGAAGATTAAGAGTGTAAAATGGATGAGAATGCTAAGTCACATGAAAATAGTCCCATATCTTTTCTTTGTAAGAGCCCTGGTGGCACAGTGTTAGCATCTGACTGTGAACCAGGCTGGCACAGTTCAAATCCACCAGCTGTTCCACAGGACAAACATGCAGCCTGCCTCTACAAGGGCAGTTCTACTGTCTCACAGGGTTGTTAGGAGTCAAATGATTCAACAATAGTGTGGTTTGTTTCTCCTTCCTTCATCTCACCACTTTACACTTATTTCCTATTAAAAGCAGATAAACTCTGCCTCTGATTGAGAAAAACAGCTTGCATTAGGCGTGGGCCCATCCCTGACCCCTATCTTCTCAGCACGGCAGAAGGTCAATAGTACTTGGATTTACAAAAAAAATATGTGAACACAAACCTAAGATCATTTGAGTGTTGTTGGGATCTGTTTCCGTTTGCAAGGCACCTATTAGTATATTCACAAGTCTCAACTTCAGGGACAGAAAAGTTATTGGTTTATCATATGAAGAACTGTCATCATTACTAAACTTTCCTTCCAGGACCACCTATGAAAGAAACAAGTAATATTTAACATTGGTGATTGTGGTATACTATGCCCATGCAAGTACTGTTTGAGTAGAGAAAGAGACGGACAAAGAGAAGAGCAGTTTCTAAGACAGAGTCTCAGTCTAACTAATATTAGCCACTATGCTATATCTGTCTAACTCACACCACTTAAGTATCAAACACAATCAGCCAGCAAATGACAGGCCAAGGCATACCAGCAGATTAGCTGATGATACATCACAACATGTAAGCAATAAATCAGCTTTGTAATTCACTTGAAACATATTGATTTTAAAAAACAAACAACTCTTGTTCAATTTTTCAAAATACAATTACACTTGAATTAGCGCACAAAACAGACTATAGAATATGAACCATTACCTCAGATTTTACTGTGCCAAAATGATGAGGAAGGGGCAACAAAGAAAGTAGGATATTAATGGAAGATCGTCTCAATTCTGTTGGGTTTACATAGCTTTTGAATTTTGAGAGTTCTCTGCAAAAAAAATAAATGAAAGCTGTTAATATTTTTGAACTAAAGTATGTTTTTAGCTACTGCCAAGTATATGTCAATTTACACTATTGGGTTTAGTTTCATAAAGAGGCGATAACTATTTTTTACTAAATTTACATTCCGCAATTTGTGCTGTATAAAGTTCTATGTTAATCATTATTGAATTTAACTGAAGTTTGAAGTATGGCCTACTTATTTTAAATTTAAGGACCTCTAGGCTCAGATTGCTTTTATCCTTCTAAAAGGAAAACCAAACCCATTGTCACTGAGTCAGTCTCAACTCACAGTAACCCTACAGGACAGAGCAGAACTACTCCTGAGGGTTTCCGAGACTGTAAATCTTTACAGAAGCGACAGTTTCCTCTTTCTCCTGCAGAGTGGCTGGTGGGTTTGAACCGTAAGCAGCCCAATGCTTAACTCACCAAGGTTCCTTCTTATCCTCCAGACCAGGCCAAAAAGGATTCAACAACTCCATGGGTAAATTAGAACTGAGTGAGTTTAGGAATTAGGTAGGTTTGGGTATTCTACACACATTTAATGTAGCCTGAGGCCCCTTAGGTAATAAAGGCAACTGAGCAGGATAAATGAGGAACTGGGGAGGTGGCACCAAAATGGACCCAGGTCTAATCAGACAGTTGGTGTACTTGTGCAGAAATGATATAGCTTACCTGTCAGGCAAAATGGTTTCAAGAGCTGAAATAAAGTAAGGAACCACAACATCAATCCCTTTCAAGTCACAGCAGAACAAAGGAGGGGAGTTTAGAATAACGCTGGCCAAGACAGGGTGGCACACGTAATCATTTATCTGCAAACCTTGAATTAAAAGCATGTAAAATCTGGGAAAGCAAGAAAAGAATTTTAAACAAACTACTGATCAATTTTTTCATAATCATTTTCTACATAGTCATCTAAGAATCTATATCTATATTCTTCATTATTTCTACCCATCAAAATATATTTTACTGGAGTTAAAACTATAATTCAGTATCATTTACAGTAAAAGCCAAAAGATCTTTTATAATAAAAAACAAAACAAAGAGTCACATCTACTACACCTTCTTAAAGTTTTAGGATCTGCAATTCAAAATTAAAAGTGCAAATTGTAAGATAGCCAAAACACAAAATAGTTGTAGTAACTGTCAATCAACTAGAGGAAGTACTGAATTGAATCCCATGTGAGTACTTTTTGGCAGTCTGTATGTATATATATATATTTTTTTTTAATTGTGTTTTGTTTGTTGGGGGAGGGGTACTGGGGCAATGAAATAAAATTGAGCTCACCAAATCCTGCAGTTATCAGTCTCAGAAGACTACTTTGGCTTAGGAGTCCTGGTGTGGCACTGTGGGTTAATGTGCCAGACTGCAAAGTCATTTGAACTGCAAGGTCGGCAGTTCAAGCTCACCAACTGCTCCTCGGAATCCCCTATACAGGGTTGCTATGGGTCGGAATCGACTCAACAGCACTTCACAACAACAACAACTCTGGATTAAGAGTCCTTTCAGAACAGAACTCAATATACCTTATTCTAACTCCTTCTCCCAATCCCCAATCAATCACTAAGTATTCAGTCTTCCATCATTCAAGAGCAACTACACTGGACACTCTTTCACTACTTGAAGGTACTTTTCTTTTTTCTACCAATTCTTTAGAAATGACTTCTTCACCTCTGGTCACTCCTCAAAACCCATTTTAATTAATCTTCTGTTGCTGGATCTTGACTAAAATAATGGAGCAAATACCAATGGCCTTTCAACTGTTGAATCCAGGAGCCATGTCTACCTCTTAGCTTACTCTGCTTACTCCACCTGCCTGTTAAGTACTGGTATTCTTCAGGCTGCCACATTGAGTTCTCTAATCTCTCTTGTCTACTAGCCTAATTTTAAAGACATTAATACTGAAGGCACTGAATATAATCAAATTAATCTCCAGCCCATATCTCTCAACTGAGTTACAGATTCTTTAGCCAATATTTGATTAAGAAGAGCACAAGCGGAATGTGGGACCCCATCCAGAGAAGCAGCAACACCAGAGGTGGAGGCAGAGATGAGGACATGGAGAGAGAGAGCAGCTGAGAACTCTGGACTCATGGAAAGAGAGGAACTGGGTGCTGGTGGCCAGGAGGCAGGCTTGCAGAATGTGCCCTTTGGTTGTTTACATTATTATATATTCCTGAGTGTTTCTGTGTCTACTACCCCCCCAAAAACAACAATAACAACAACAACAACAAAAAAAGGGAATGGAAGGAAGCAAATACGATACTGTTGAATGATGATGCACGGAGGAGATTGTAATCATTTCAATGAAACAATGGTGTAAAGCCGATGGTGTCCCATGTAAACTATCACTCAGTTCATAATAGAAACTTAAAAAAAAATTTGATTGAACATCTTTGGACAGACATGTCTACTGATAAGTACAGTACTCCCTGTGTATAATTTCTATCATAAAGTAGGCACTTTATAAACATATGTTAACAAATATACCTCAAATGCAATCATTTCAAAACTACACTTCTCACTTGTCCTGTCACAAACCAGATCTTTTGGTTAGTGGTTCTACCACTCATTCAATCTTCTGGGCCACAGAGCTCAGCGTTACAGCCTTCTGCCTTCCTGTGAACGGTACCTTTTGGGGTGTCTCCCTCCCAAAATGTGCTCCTACCACTAGAAGTGAGCTCCAGCACCTCTCTATGCACTCTCATAGCTATATTTGACTAAACCTGACCAGATAGAGCCTCTTTTCTAGGAAACTGAAATTAGGCTATTTGGCCCTGTTGCATGGCACTGGAAAGGAAACTGGAAGAGGCATAGGATGAGGATCTGTAGAGAAGAGAGTGAAGCAGTCTGGGAGACCACGAAGACACAGAAACAAAGAAGGAAAGTTGTTTTGGTCCTGAACACTGCACTCCCTGATTCTTGCTCCTTATGAGGCCCTGCTGTACTTCTTGATCTTAGAGTATATTAAATATCACTGGTTTCTCATAACTCATTGCTTTTTTTAACTTAAATCACACTGAGATAATTTCTGTTACCTAAAGTCAAAAGCCTATGGTTAAAATACCCAATTAGTTCCCTATAAGGGTCTGAGTCCAGTTCAAACCTTTTCGTGGGTGGTCTCGAGGGAGAGCGCGAGGATGAGAAAATTATGTACAAAAGAAAAGAATTCAGGCAAGGATCAAAAGCTGATGGCTAGTGACCAAGTATATTGAAAGCAAGAGGTTTTTAATAGAGCAATTTCTGCAAGTCAGCATTGTTCTGCATAGTTACAAATTTATCTTTTACTGTGCGCCAGGCAACCTTGGAGAAGCTGCTTTCCCTGCATGAATGTCTTTTGCTGTGAGTCATGTGAACTGGGAAAGTTATCTTCCCTGTGTTGAATAAGCAGGCTTTGTCTGGTTGTATTCAGACTCCAAGCTTTATGAAGCCTGTAAGCCTTCCGGTCCCCAACAGTTCCCTCATATACCATTCTGTTTCATTAACTATGTGCTTCTGTACTTGATTCCTCAGCTAAGAGTCAGTTTAATCCTGTCTCCTGTGAAGTTAGCAGGAACAGAGATGACCAAATGCTCTTGTGGATATAAGCATCATTTTGGCAGTTATGCACATGATCAATGTAGGAAAGCAATATAGATTCAAGGAAAACAGGCTGTTACAGTTAATTTAGGGAAGAAAGTGACCAAGTCTGAAGTTTAATGGTAGGGATAAGGTGGAAAGAGAGATTAAGAAAGAGGATTAAGTGGCAGAAAGGGCAGAGTTGATTGACCCACTGAAGATAGAGGAGAGGAGAGAAGAGTCTACGATGACTCCTAGTTTCTGTCCTTAGCAACTGAGTGAATGGCAGAGTCATTGCAAAGATGGCTAAAGACACAGATTTGGTTAAGATGACCCTACTCAACTTCCTAATATTTTCTAAATACTATGACTAATATTTATAAGACCAGCACAATCATTCAATCCTTTGTTAATTCTTTCTTGAACCCCTGAGGTAAGTGCTAACTGGTTCTTCCTCTGAATTCCCATAACACATTATCTGCGCCTCTTTTCAACTTCCTATTCTACCTTGGATTACACCTGGCTTTATTCATCTTAGAAAATAAGCTCATTGGAGGTAGGATTGATAGCTGACATATTTCTGAACCTTTAATCACACCTAATACCGTGCCAAAAAAGAAATAATTAGGGTGGTCCCTCCAAATCTCTATAATTAGTAAAAGTACAATTTAAAAGTCAAATTTAATTTCTAAAATTAAAAGTCTTAGGGGTCATTACCAATTTTGATGAGGCAGTTAAAGTAGAAGAATTAAAACAAAAATTTCAATTACTTACAGATATATGCAGGTACTTCAGAGCAACATTTACTTATACATTCAGCCTACTAAGCCATGTTACAATAGCTTCACTATGTAAAGTACATAAATGGAAAAATGTTTTAAAAAGTTCTAAGACCTGGATAAATAAGCTGGCAGAATCTCTTCTCCAGTCTTCTTGCTACAAAAAATCCTACACAGTGTCCCACAAGCCTCAGCTCTTCCTGCTTCATAGTTATCAGGAAAATCACTTGCATCAAACATAGGATTGGAAACCATGGTGTCTGTGGACATTTGTGACCCTTTCCGTCGAAACTCCATGCTAGCTTGTGTTGTAATGGCTGAGGAGAGAAAAGGAGGGGTTTTATTATATTTGTCAATATGCCAAATAGGCTCATGGGACCCTGGACACAAAGATCAATTATTGGTCTCATTAAATAATTGCTTGAATAGAATCCAATAATGCTTTTGTTTAGCAACTATGTCTTTATTTTTTTTTAAAGGGCTCTCTGAAACCTTTGAAAATGGTTAAAAATTAATTCACAGTGGCATTGTTAGTTTAGTAGATTCTACAAGAAGCATTTTTCAACTGAATTTTTGATGAGCAGAGTACATCTGTAGATATCTGTATTGGTATACAGATATGTAATACAGAATTGTGGCTTTTCTATTATTTATTTTGTTTTTCCTGCCCCCTATAAAATGATGCTTAAACATTAAGAAAAATAGCTACTGCTATTTACACTTTACTCCCGACAAACATCATAAATGAATGGGCAATCCCATGCCAGTTCGTATATTTTAAGGAGAGGGCAAGGTAAAGATGAGAAATGGATAGGGAGGAAGAGACTAATTCCCACCACCCCACCCGACTCCAAAACACACATCAAAGATTCACCCAACCAAGCAAAATGAGAATGAATTTTAACAACCACAGATAGCAGTTAACTTGAGGTTGGTATATTAGAAAATTGGATTGGTAAAAAAGATGACCAAGATCATTTGTAGTCACTAAAACAGAAGCCCTTCGAAAGTTGCTTTTATTTTAAACAAAAGATTTCATAGTGTATTGAAAAATCACTCTGAAATCTTTCATCAATCTACATGAAATGTTTAAATTACTTTGTACTAAGAGATTTAATAGAACGCAGAGTCAAGCAAAAATCTTTATGCAACTTCCCATGAGCCACTTTTGTCCTGAATAATCTATCCAGCAATAATACATTTGAAAAACACTACATGCAAAATGCATACAAATCAAACATTAAATCTTTATAAAAATAAGTTTAAAGCTTTAAAAAACAAACAAAAAAGAAAGCCAAAACACAGTTAGTGCAAAGTCCTGGAATTCATGGCATGACCAGACTAGTGTACAGAAATAATGGGACGGATTCCGGCACATTAATTTGCTTTTTTGCCAACAATCTTCCCCATTCAAAACACAGAAAAATATTTTCCTTCCCAAGTGCAAAAACTACAAGAGACAATGACAATCAAAATTTTTAATGGAATTATGAAAAAAATTAAAACATGACTGCAATTAAGAAGAAGCTTCTAGTTCCTACTTACAAGATTTATAAGAAAGAAGAATTTGGATAAAAGATGCTGCAAGATAATAGAAATAAATGGAAACAAATCAAAGGACAGCAGTAATTATAAAATACTTTAAAGATGGTGAAATTTTACAGTAAGTTATGAAGCTTTTTAGCTTTATAAAAAGTTAAATTAAAAGTTTTATGATATCGCAAGCTAGTTCAAAAACATAGAAAATTGTGCATTCAGGTTCAAAATTAATGATTTTTGTATCATGCATAAAACAATGAACGAAGAAAATTACACATCTACAAAGAATCGAGGTTTTGAACTGCCATAATGTACATTAAAATTTTAGTTCATTAACCCTTCCCAGCTCAACAGTATTTTTACAAAGCACAGTGTCATGTCACGTAAACCTACAGCAAACCAGTTTAAAAGAAAGCAAACATTTTAAACTAGAGGTGAACTGCATGGTAGAACTCCTTGATGACAGCCAGTACTTTAAAAACAGACTAACAGTGCTACTAGTATTCCCAAAACACCCACCCCACACCTGAAAGCTCCAGATTGGCAGCCAGTAATACTCTACCCCTTTTATCTATTTTGACACCTATTTCTCCCAGGTGTTGCAACAGCCTGCATCATCTGAGCACAATGGGGAAGAGAGAAGATTCTATCATTTCCCCATCAAGGAGAATCTTAAGAGTTAAAAAGGTAAGAACTTGTTGCTCACAGAGCATTTGAATTGTGGTTTCTAGCTTCTGGTGCAAGAGGATGAGTAAAGCTGTTACAAACTCCCTAGGGAAAACAGCAAGTCGAATCATTCTAGATTGAGGAATTTGAGTGTTCGCAGCTAAAAGTTGTAAGAATTACATCTCAATAAAAAATAAAAATATGATGGGCTCATCCTAAAAACCACAATACACATAAATATAAGCATGGCTCAGAAAAATGCAAAATACAAGACACATGAACATAAAGAAAATATAATTCAAAAACAGTTTTTATAAAGCTTTCATTTAGTCATCAGAAGTAAGCACACATATCTATAAGCAAGCATTACCTTCATACTTGTAAATAAAATTATAACATGGAACTGGCAGAATATAAAGTGTCTGAATTTGGACAAAATAAACCATGCAAAGGAATCCCTAAACTCAGTTATTTAATCTAAAATGATATTCCTGATAATGTCTATATTCATAACTTTTCTAAATTGTTTTAAAGATTTCTAAAAACGCCCAAAATAATCTGTTTTATATATTCAGAAAACCAAGTCTTAGTTCTGAGTTGATACATAATACTGTAACTGTAAGAGAAAGAAGGGGCTTTCATGACCATTACATTAGTTAAATTTTGTTCTTGAGATTAAGTCTCCCTTATTGCTGTTTTGTGCTGCCAAGATGGTACCAATTCATTGACACTGTATAGGATTTCCAAGGAGCAGCTGGTGGGTTTGAATCGTTGACTTTGGTTAGCAGTTCAGTGCTATAGTGCCACACCAGGACTCCCAACAGCCCCCTGAGAGATGCATAAACTAATGAATTTAGGTATCCTTTTATCTTACACTAGTTCCAATACAGTGAATAAGTACTTCTTTACCAAACCACCACTAAACATATGAATGTAAAGTGTGTAGTGCAGGGCCCGGTATACAGCACTTGCATTGCAATAAATGCCAGCCGCGATTATTGTTATCCAGCTCCAGAAGACACATCGCAAACATTCAATCCATTCTCACTATGCCACCTTTTCATTCTGCACCCTATGCCACTACGTCCAAGTAAGATGAAAAGATGGCAAAAATAAATCAGAATTTACGGAGGTGCATTTCTGTAATAAAATCTAAATGAAGGCATGAGTACTAAAGTAGTCTTACTATATTACAAAGCAAATGGTATTTTCAAAATGTATACTTGAAATAAAATCGTCTTGATAGGAATAGGTTTTAGACCAAAACCTGTTAAGGTAAAGTCTTTTTGTGAAGCAGAAATTTGCTGATATCTACTCCTATTAATGAGTGAACTGGTTGTCAAACTCTAAGAAAAACACTTCTGGTGAATAAATTTCCAGTCAAAATCGTTTAATTCTGCAAGGAGCTCTGGTAGCGCAGTGGTTACGAATCAGGCTATGAACCGCAAGGTCAGCAGTTCGAAACTACCAGAAGTTCAAGATGAGGCATTCTGCTCCCGTAAAGATTTACAGCCTCGGAAACCCTGTGCAGGGTCTCTATGAGTTGGAACCGACCCTATGGTACTTAATAACAACATCCATATGTAGTTATCCCGGCTGACATGAAGGGAACTTCCAGGTCACCTGCTGACATTTGATTCAAAGAAAATGGCTAACCTGAAATATGTCTAATAAACTAGAACAAAGGCCAAACCTCAGAAAAGACATAAAAAAGACAGGTGGGAAAACGTCTGCTACTTCAGCTGGAAGGGGTTAAGCACAAGACATTGGTCAGAGACAGAAGCTTTTTAAGATACATATCAATCTTGCAGGTAGGAAAGATTAAAAAGAAAAAGAAACAAAAAATGGTAACATATTTCTTGAGCAATATTTACCAGTCATGCTGCTGTCTCTGTTTATCTCATTATGAAGTTTACAGTGAACAAATGCTGCATCAAATAACCATGATCCAAAGAGATTCAAGATGCTGTTAACCTTTGGTCTCCGAGGGGCAGGCAGTGGCCGGGGCTCTGAACTGGTCTGATTTGGACTTGACAGAGGAGAGGTGGAGGATGTCTGGTGCTGAACTTTTGAGGCATGAGCAGTACTAACCTAATAGAAGGAACACAAGAATCCCCACACATTCATGAAGAGTGAGAAAATGGCAGGACTTTTTCAAAAGGATGGTAGATTTAAAAGCCATTTTATGTAGCATAACAATGGTGATGAAAACTCTTACCGTGCTTGTCTTCATGGTGGCCTTATTCACGGCAGCAGTGCGGTGCCTCCGGTTATGTGGTGGGGTGGTACTGACAGCAGTGCTTTGAGGCATACTTAATCTATTCACAGGTGTTGGGGGAGCACTATCTGATCGGGGTCTAGAAATGCCTTTAAAAAAAACGCAAATCAAGTTATTCTTCATACTTCAAAATATGTGGTCAGAATATCTTCCCCCAGCAACACCAGTGAAGGCTCAAATGCAAACAGACTACAGCAGAGACTGCTAAGTTGCCTTCTGATATCGATATCCATTTGCCCTTGCTTCCTGGGTAACAGAACACAAATTTTAGCTGGACATAGCTACCCAGAATAAATAACTACATTCTACTGCAGGTTAGAGGTGGCCACATTCCGACCAGAGAGAGAAGTGGGTGACTGTTGGGTGAATCGGCCAAGAAATCTCCTTGAAAGGATCAGACGGCCTTCCTTTCTAATATCTGCACAGGATGCTAAGGCTCATTCAATGATGCAGACCCATAAGGTAATGCAAAAAAGATGAAGAACTATAAGACACAAGGGACCATGGGTCCTTGATGACAGTGCAACTGCTACACCAACCCCTCAACTATCTTGTCTAAGTCACTAGTATTTGGGGGTTTCTGTTATATGGCAGCCATACTTAATCCTAACTAGTATATTAACTGTGTAATGTATTAAATCCATTTAACAAATGTTTTAGAAAATGTTAAGTGCTGCTGAGTCGGTTCCGACTCATACCAACCCTGTATAGGGTTTTCAAGGAGTGGCTGGTTGGTTTCCAAGGAATAACTGGTGGAATTCAATCACCAAACCTTACAGTTAGCATTTCAGTGCTTTTCCTACAATATCATTGTTGTTGTTGTTAAGTGCCATCGAGTCAGTTCTGCCCCATAGTGACCCTGTATAAGGTTACCAAGGAGCGGCTAGCGAGTTCGAACCTCCAACCTTGTGATTTAAACTGACCTTGCAGTCCAGCACATTAACCCACAGTGCCACACTAGGAGTCCACACTGTCATTATAGATCTTAAATATCACTGCCTTTCAATGGATTAAAAAAATCCTGACTTTTTCATTTTCTAAAATGTGACAAACATTTTAGTCTAAAAGAGAGATTCACAAATGTTATAATTTGCTTTCTAGTGATATACATGAGCATGGTACCTAATGTAATTTAATCTGCATTTTCTTAGATAACTAGTGAGAATGAGCACTTTTCTCCCTTGCATATCTTTGATTCATATCCTTTATCCATCTAGTTGCTAGGTTGCAATCTTTTTCTCAGCAGTTTGCTTGGCCTATTTCTATAAAGAAAATAATAACTTCTAGATCTCACACTTCTTGCAAAGAGTTTTTCCTGGTTTATTTGTAATCAAATCTGTTCATCTTTTCTTTAATGGTTTCCATAGTTGTTTCCAGGATTAGATTCCAGTTATATAAATACAGCTTGCTAAACATCTAGCAATATACACAAAATTTACCTAAGAATGCATCCACTAGACAGCTGATTCCACGCATGGCACGAAAAAATATTTGAGGCAGATGTTTAAGGCAGGGATACTGATTCAATTCTTGCGGCATTCCGCTCACATTCAGGAACTGTTCCTGAAATTTGG